AAATTTATTTTGAAATAATTGTAAAAATGTATGAGTTGTAGGAACACTATAAAGCACTCCTTCATACACACACACAGAAACACTTAGTTTTTTTCTAAATCACCTGAGAGCACATTGCAAATGCAATGGCCCTTCACCTCTTATTTTATTCTAGCTTTACTAGGTATACTTGAATATTTAGAGTGCACAGTGTGATGATTTGATATACATATGCATTGTGCAGCACTATTATTTGCATGACATTTCACACTTGCTTCATTCAACTGAGTTTGGTTTCCTATTCGTGACACTCGCCCATTTTTTGGAGGAGCTCAATGGTGAAACTAAACAGAAGAAGCAGAACCAGGCCAGAAAACTAGAGTAACTGTCCTTCATACACCTGAAGAGTGCTATAACTCTAAATACGAGGGCAAATGTCACACTATATACCTGCTATAATAAAGAACATTTCTCTCTGGCCCCCTTCCTCTCTGTAAGCATGCCCTCGGGTGAGGATTAAAACAAAAAAGGAAAATGCAATAGAGGTGAGTGTTTGACACTATCCTGCCCTTGTGAATTGCCCAGAATTCTTTGGAAGACCAGCATAAGAAAGAAAGCTGTCCTACCTGGAAAGGTGAAGCAAATCAAATAAATAATACATAAACTCCAGTTTTTGAGGTCTATGTAGTATCCTGTTTTCCCTTCACTGGCACTAGACAGACATGATTAAATGCCTCAGCTCTAAGTGGGTAAAGCCAAAAATACTTGCAAAATCTGTCAAGAATCTGTACAAATTTCTTCTAATAATTTGGACAAACCACTCAAGTGGTCAAACTTAAGTACACCAGTAATATGTCAAATATAAAAGAATAAAATCAATACATTATTTTTAATAAACATAGATGTATGGTAGAATCTGTTAGTTAATATTATCTCTGTACTTGAAATTCATCTTCTCTTTGAAAAAAAAAGGGCAGAAATGAGATTGAAAATAGTCATCCTTAATTATTTTTTTTTTTTGCCAGAATGTTGTCCTTTATCTATTTAAACTTTTTTTTTAGGGACACTCGACATTTTTTAAAATACCCTCATTATTAAAAATTTTACAACAACTTAGGAAAGAGTAAAAGTATTTTTTCTTACACACTTTATGCCATAAGAGGCATGATTAAAATGACGAGTTTCCAAATAACATGAATAATGCATTTCTCCTTTATCCAAAGCAAATGCACTTTGCTCCTAAGCGATGTTTAATCCATTTTCTTTTTTGAGAAGAGCAAAGGAGGGTGATGAGGGATTTATACTTAGAATTATCATCAATGTAGGCACATATTTGACTTGTGATTATAAAATAATTGTTGTAGTAATTTTGAGTTTAAACAAGGGTAGTGAATTTTGATATGAAAGAAAAGCAAATTATATTTCTGTTAGTATTCAAGGTTACCTTTTTGGGACAGAATTATGAAATGGTACTGTTTATTATGTTATGGAAAATGTGGAGCCCATGTTAAGAAATCTTATGTATTCACATGTGAATAAATATTTACTCCAGGAGTAGCAGGTCTACATTTGTAGGTCTACATAAGTTTCAAAGAACAGCCTAAGCTTTCGTAAAACTTGGACAGAGAAGCTTAAAATCCTTCCACTAACCTCCACTTCCCCATCCACTTCCACCAGAAAAAGTGGTCAGTGGTCAAATCCAATCACCATCCTTGGATCACTGGGAGTGGAGCTGTGGGGAGATGTGAGGAAAAGCCATAGATCCTTTGAGGTTTCAGCTCCTTGTGTTTGCTTACTCCCCAGGCACAGGGAAGGGTAACAGCGGCGGCGGGGCTGCCTCTGTACTGAGGTGCCTCTGCACTGGGGAGATTCGGGGGCTGATAGGTGAGCTGAGCTCTCCTTTCTGCCTTCTTTCACTTCATTGGTGCACTTTTCTCTAGACACATTTTTCCTTGCTCCCAGGGTAGTAATACTATCTTTGAGGGAAGTAAGATGGGACGTGAGCACAGGAGAGAGAATCAAAGGCTGTAAACACGCATTTTGCTCTTACAGCCCCATGTGCTCCAACTTAGTTCATCAGAACACTCTGGGATTTTTCAGGTGAAGCTCCAACAAGTAATAAAGACTGTGCTTTCCCTGGCCTTTCCATTTCTCTCTTGTGGACTTTGTAAGGGTAAAGGTGGACATGGTAGGTGACGGGTTAAGATCTCTTTGTTTTAAGTGACTTTTTGGCCAAAGATCAGGGAAGACTTCCTTTTGTCAGAAAAAGAATAGTTTTTTATTGATTTTTTTAAATTTTATTTTTTTTAGAAAAAGTGAAACATCAATCAGCTGCCTCCTGGGGATTGAGCCTGCAACCTGGGCATGTGCCCTGACATGGAATTGAACCGGCAACTTCTGAGCCATACTAACTGAGCCATACCAGCCAGGGCAAGAATAGATAATTTTAAAATGACAGTAAGGTTTCGGAATTCCATGTGTCAGAAGTCAGTTAGGAAGCATCCAAGAAGTTCCTTGATTTTCTCAAGAGAATAGTAATATAGTAATAGTAATAGCACCAGAGGGAAAGGGGAGTGGAGTTGGGTAGAAAAGGGTAAAGTGGCAATAAATGGTGATAAAAGGAGACTTGACTTTGGGTGATGAACACACAGTATGATTACAAATGATGTATCATGGAATTGTACAACTGAAACCGATATAATTGTGTTAACCAATGTCACCCCAATAAATTCAATAAAAAAGAAAAAAATACATAGAGAAGATCTAGTAAAAATGTGACAAATCTGGGCCCACATTCCCGTAGACTTGATACATTTCTTATCTTTTTTTGAAAAAAGAAAAGCCAGAAATCTCTAGTTTTTAATATAGTATCTCCCAAATTTTAAATATTGGCTATTCATTCAAAATTTTTAAAAAGATTACGTAGGCCAAACAAAAAGAGTAATAATCAGCTCCTAACCACTTTGTTTCCTTAGCCCTGTGGCTGGTGGGCTTTTTTCTTGGACTGTTCTAAACAACTAAGAAGGTTTTGAAGACCTTTGGCCCTTTGACCACTACCTTCTGAGAGGTGGGCAAAAGGTGTTTGTGCTTATTTAAAACCCCAGGAAAATAACCCATGAAGCCTACAAAACAGGCTCATGATTGCAGTGACTTTTAAACTGTTATAAGGAGGAACAAAAGGAAAAATCACACAGTGAAGAATCACTAAAGTGTCATGAACCAAGGATTATGATGAACGACTTCTGTATATTCTCCCAACCATAACATGTAATTTTTAAAACTACTCAGTGACTTTAAGGCAAAGCCTGGCCCTCAGACATGTTATAATTTAGTACACACCATTAGAGAACCCATGAAAGGAAAACATGATGACAGTCAGTGCTTTTGTTTTGTGTCATACAATGTGGTAAGGACAGTGGTAATTCTCTTCACTCTTCCCCACAGAGGAGTACGGAGTGCCAGCTACTGTAGAGAAGACAAGAAGGAATTGATGGGGAGCTAGCATTCTTGAACTTCAAACCTTGTACTTCCTTGATGCTGACAAGGAGAAAGCAGAGAACACAGCCCATAGCTAGCTGCAATAGTTTTTCTAAATGTGACCAGCACTAAGACAGATGTTTTCTAGGATGGAACCGAAGAAGTCTTAGGACTGCGGGATGCCATCTAATTACTGAATTCAAATTACTTTAGCATCTTTAAAGCACACAGACAAGGATGCATCACATATTCACAACATGCTCCTTTATAAACCATGTACTTTCATAATGAACCTAAGCCTTCAGAATGAGAATAAACATGACTACATGTAGTTCTTATACAAATAAATAATAATCACGAGCAGGGCTGCTCAGAACAAAACTCATCTTACTCTTTATTCAAATGAAAGATTCCCCTTCTCACTGACAGGCAAAACCACTCAATTTACTGTTGAGGACACTGCTTTGTTTCTCCTGAATTGCTAAATCCACTACATAAAATCCTGTAGCGAAGGTTTAGCTGTACTCAATTTCCTTGTGTTAAATATATAAAGACATTATTTTTCATAAATGTCTAATGCATTAGTGCTTTTAACCCGTCCTTTAAGTACAGTTGCCTCCATAGAGGTTTTCCATAAATTACCTAGTTCAGATGAAGTTTTAATAATATTTTGAATATCCTTCCACCTTTAACTTTAAGAAGATATGTTATTGTCAAAGTCAAAGCTTTAAAATATTGAAGTTCGGGAGTAAAGACATTTAAAGATAGCTCTCAAAATGTTTTTGTTGAAAAAACAGGTGTCACTTAAATATTATAAGAATCCTCATCACAGCTTCCTAAGGAAAGGAGATTCCAGAATTTTCCAGGAGTTGTCCAATGGAAGTAAGTCCAGGTTCAAAGAGCTAAGAAGAAAGGAATGATTTTTATTCAGCACATACACAATCGGCTACAGCGACTTTGAGCCTCTTTGTTCTGCTGGTTATCTCTCAGTAAAGAAAGAGATGCTTCTGTGAAAGTCATCCCCTGAAAACAGAGGTGAGTGCAGGAAAATGAGCGTGAGCTGATATAACTTCAGGTCATTTCACAGAGAATTTGCACACAAAGTGAATTCTCACAAGTTTGCAAGCTTTTCCAAAGTCTAGCTTTCATGAATATTGTGTGAACAAGTTGTATAGAATGCAGTCTATGCCCTATGGAACAGCATCATGTTTATTACGACGGTGGGATTATTTGGCATCACCAAATAGCAGGGTTCAAACGTCAAACAGCTGAAAAATCCAACAATCTGGTCTAACCTGGGATGCTCTGTCTCCTCACAGCCAATGCTCCATCAGGCGGCTTTGTCTGGCTGGCGGATTTAGTGTAGGGACTCTCATCTGCAAAGGTACAATGAAGGGTTTGGTTAATTTCCATCCAGTTTCTAATGCAGTGAAGACTCTTAGTGGATTGCAGTCCTTCTGCCAGAGAGAGGAGATATGGCATGGTACAGCACAAAGAATCAGTAGACCTCGGTCCTAACCTCGGCTTAGCTGTGGGGCCAATTATTTAAAATGCTCTGGACATGGGTTTCCTTTCCTCTAAAAGAGGGATATATTTCTCACCCACCTCTTAGGATTGTCAGGATTGAACTAGAGTGCACATGAAGGCATCAAATAGTAAGAAGTATGCAAATAGAGTATGCAAATTATTTGCCTGTCAGCTTCATTCATTGATAAATAAGTATCAGTGAATATCAGTAACAGGAAGACAAAGAGAGAATAAAACGGCTCGATGGGCACTAAGAATAATCAGGTAGAAGGACAAAGGAAATGAGAAGAAATGTTATATTTCAGATAAGCAGATGACAAATCATTAGTATTGCAGGGAAATAAAGACACACAGAATTAGTGGGTTCTTCAGCGTGTGAAGTGGCAGCCAGAGCCAAAAGGAGGGAACAGGGGCATTCAGAGTGAGACCAGAGAAGGGAGGTTGCGAACAGGAAAGGAATGATGGTTTGGCAAAAGAACAGGTACACAGCAATGAGCTGATTGGCTTTCTTTTAGAAAAAGATGGAAATAATCTGAAGAACCATAAAAAAGCAACTGAAAAGACAGAAGCTCAGTATATCTGTGAGAGTTAGGCAAGAAGCTGAAGAGATGACAAGATCTTAAGAGGTGACGGATTCATCAGATTCTGAGTAAAATGATTTTGTTAAATCTAGAACAGAAGTTAATCTGGCTTGGAATATAGGAGTAATGATCTAGGATGGCAAATATTAGGGTTAAAACAGAAAGGAAGATTTCTTCTTAGTTTGCATGCAGACATTTGTATAAAGTAGAAGAGATGTCTGAGTAAAGATCAGCATGTATATGGCCTGAGTAAACATAATGTAAAGTACTTAGCGAGTAAATCTAGGCAAGCTAGATGACCCAAATGTTACTTCTGGACACACCATACGGATGGTTTGTTGTAGTTATAATAGGAAATCGTTAACGGATTAAAGAGAACGATATTGTGCTTGGCAAACTACTAAATGTAACAAGGATTTAATTCAGCAACAAGGCTTTGTCATATGAAAACATTAATTCTCCCAACTAAGTGGTTTGTGTTTTAAAATTGAGGAACTCGATTTCTCTCTGGAACGTACTTCTGGTTGAAATGATTCATGATTTCTTCATAAAACTAACAAGGTCTTTATAAGGAATGACAAAAAGGAACGATGAACACTGCTGTAAGCTGCAATTAACTTAAAAAATGAAGTCACACTGCTTCATGTTTATATTCCATTTGTCACACAATTCTTTATATTCTCCCAACCATAAACTACCAACTTTCAGACACCAATTCAATCAGCAGCATCCCTTTTGCTTATGAAGCAGTATCCCAGGTTTCTGACTGTTCACTTTGAAATGCAATGTTTAAAAAAATGTTTTTTTTTTATTGTTGATAGTATTACAGATATCTCCCATTCCTCCCACCCCCTTTACTCCCCTTCTCCCAGATCTTCTCTACCCTATTGTCTGTGTCCATGGGCTATGCATCCCTATAATAATAAAAGCATAATATGCTAATTAGACCAGATGTCCTTCCGGACGTCCTTCTGGACAAAGCCGGGGCTGCGAGTGAAGCCTGGGACCTGCGTGCCAGAGGGAAGCCAGTCCTGGCAGCCAGGGGAAGGGAGGTTTACTCTTGCATGAATTTCATGCATCGGGCCTCCAATAAGTATATAAGTTCTTTGGTTTATTTATTCTCGTTCCCCCAACCCTACATCGAGGTATGTCAGTCTGTTCCATGCCTCCATGCTTCCAGTCTTATTTTGTTGGTCAATTCATTTTGTTCATTAGATCCCACAAATAAATGAGATCATGTGATATTTGTCTTTTCAGATTGGCTTATTTCACTTAGCATAATATTTTTGAGTATAATCACAAACCACGAAAGCATCACAGTACAGAAGTCTCCATTTCCCCCACCGTTCCCACCTGAATATTTGAGTGTTTTTCTCACAGTGTTGATTTAATAACCAGGCAATGTGCTTTACATACTAAAACAAATTTTCTATATGTTAAAATCTCAATTCTTAATAAAGCCAATTAAAAATACGTTTTCTTTTATTATCCAAAAACTTTGAAACAGTGTATTTATGGGTACAGCGCAATGAACCAGGGGATATAGATCATAACAACCAGTTTTACCGCAGGCACAGCATCTCAGAAGCTTAAAGGTTTTCTTCAGTTTTCAACTTGTCAAAAGTCCAGCCAATTAAAATCTTGGTTGAATCCAGTGTTGGATATCTTAAAGGGAAGTAAGAGAATTGCACAGGAGATGCTGAATTTTTTTGCACTTGATACTCTATATTTTAAGGAGCCATTTCTTTAGAAGTTTACCCAGTTTGCATTCCAGAAGTAGTCAACCCTGTTAAAATTGGTTTCTTATTTATAGTGAATTTGAAAGTAGAGCTGAGATAGTTTAGTTATGCACATCCTTAAAAGGTTGAAACTGAATTATAGATGGCTACCTGACCAACTTCTACATATGCATTCCCCAGCTCCTGCCCTCATTCTCAGGATTCAGTGTCCTTACTGAGATAGGCGGAAGTAGACAATTATCTAGAAGCCAAAAGTTGTACTGGTCAAAGGATCTGACTGAAATAAGTTCCATAGTGTCTAAACGTAACTTGCCAAAGTCGAGCTGGGTGAAAGCAGTAATAATTCCTAATGGAAGTGAGGAGAACCTTGGCAACATTTATCATGAGAGTAAAAGGAGAGCATAGCAACAGAGCACCATTTAGCATTTATTTTTAGAGAAAAATTTTCTAAGAACATATCTTTATTTTAAATCACCAAAAGACACTATGGGCTTTCATAAACAAAGCAACCCATTACAGAATGAACACATCAACTCCCATGATGTAATTTACTCAACGTCAACTCTTGATTCAAACATTGACAACAGTAATGGATGGACGACACTGAATGTTTCAGTCGCAGATGGCCCCATAATAGGATACTAAAGCACAAGAATGTCTGGAGTATAGTTTTAATCCGCCAAGTCATGGAGAGCTATGGAGTCTACTGTCAGGGTTTTTCATGCGGCCCCTAGTGGAGATGTATAGATATAATCACTAGAATTTCATGATATAAGGGATGATCTAGACCACTCTTTCACTTTATAGTTGAACTTGAGGCCCAGAGTGATACATTTATAGAAGGACATATCTAGAGTGCTCCTAGAATGCATTTCTTTTATTTTTGTTCCCATGCTATTTCCTCTTGGGTGGACAATGAGATCTGATAGGTGATCAGGTGCACATTTCTGTATCACACAGGTAAGTGAATAGACACAACCCTTCAGCAGAGACCTTGCATGATGTAAGTTAATCCTTATGGAGAAGCCTATGCGTGAATATATATACATGTGTGTATATAAACTTCATTTCCCTCTCCTCCAAATATTTGTTTGTCTAAAGTGAAGTACATATAAATTGTTCTACAAAACCAATTTATACTTTTCATTTCATTTGTTTTTGCAGACAAAATTTTTAAATAAATTCTAATACAATTCATTGTTCCTTAGTAAGGGCCTCAAAGGTTCAGTGAATTATAAAATCTGTGTTAATACTTCTCCTTTATCAGGGAGACACTAACTAGACTTTCAGGTTCCATCCAAATTACATGAATTAAAATATTAGCCAAATAACAAAGAAAGGAATCAATTAGTAGATAAGATCTCTAAAACGGTACCCGACCCATAGTATGCAACCATCAAATGTGTGCTGATAGATGAATGAATTGTATTCAACTTTTCAAACTAAAGCATTTATTATAAACTAGAGGCCGGTGCATACAATTTGTGCATGGATAGAGACCCTAGACCTGGCCGGGGATGAGGGCCGATCTGTGGGGCGATCGCGGGGGTGGGGGTGGGGGGCCCTGCTGGCATCCGCCTTGGCCGGCCCTGCCCCCTGCTGCTGCTGATCATCTCCCTCTGTGGGGCAACAGGTGGGGAGATCTGGGGGCCCCCCGCTGGCACCTTCCTTGGCTGAACTGGGGCCTGCAGACTAGGGGCAGCTCCTGCGATGAGCGTCTGCCCCCTGGTGGTCAGTGTGCGTCATAGCGACCGGTCGTTCCATGGTTGTTTGCTGTTCGGTCGATTTGCATATTAGGCTTTTATTATATAGGATAAGCAATCTGAAGGAAGTCAAATATTTGCTATGAGCTTTCCTCCCTCTGATTTCCCCCCTAGTTTCATAGCCTATTCCATTTAAAGTCACAGCATCACCTAATAGCTATTGAGTACTGACCTATGGCATGTTAACAATCTGTGACTCTTTATAAAATGGATATTAAAATATTTCCTTTTATTTTCATTTAGACTACAGAAGGATTTATTGAACAATCTTTAAAATAATGCCTTTAAGCAAAATAATTCTGATTTCCATACAAGACTCCCAGCCTTGACTTTGATGGTGGATCATATTAACAGGGATCCTTATTGACATTCACTATAAGAGCAAAGCAGACATGCAGCTGGTGAGCTAGTGCTCAATGAAGTGAATGTTGCAAGTAATCATTGTGTGCATCTCAGGGACTCAGAACTGTCAGCCTTTTCTAATGACATCTTAGCAGATAGATAATCACTGTCACACATGATGGCCCCCCATGGTCCAAAGGGCTGCATATTGGTCCCAACAAGGAAGAGCATGGGTCCCCTTTACAATGTCATCCCATGAGGCCAGAAAAAATCCCCTCCACTAAGTGAAAAGTTAACACCATGACAGAGGCACAGAGAGGGCTGAGCTAAGCATATACTTAAAACAGAGTGAAACGATGCGGGTGGGGAGGCATCTGTCCCTGCCATTCCATCCATTTCGGCCAATTTCCTCACGTGCCAAACA